TTTTTTTTTTTTTTTTTTGCATTTTAGGGCAGGGTTTACAGGGTGTTCAGGGTCTCAGTATTAGATCCGACTCATAGTGATCTGCCTGTTTACAGCCTCCCAAGAGCTGGAATTACGGGTGTGCTCCACCACGCCCAGTCTCAGTTGCTGTCTCAGCACACCCCAGGGTAGGGTAGGGTAGGGTAGGGGGAGCAGCATGGCAGGCCTGGGATCAAACCCCCACCCCTGCGCCTACTCCCAGCTGTATTGTTTCTAATGTGCTTTTTTTTTTGACTATTTTTTATTTCGGTTAAAAATTTTTAAAAAGATACAAAACCCCAATTAATTTCTTACAGTACATATTCTACTGGTTAGAAGTGTAGGCAAGGTGCTGTGCTTGGGGTCCCACAAGGCTGAAATCCAGGTGTCACCCAGACTGTGTATTCATCTGGAGGCACTAAGGGAAGATTTACTTCTAAGTTCACTGAAATTACTGCCAGAAGTGGTTTCCTTGCAGATATCTGATTGAGATTCCCAGTTTCTTGCTGAATGTGCTGGAAATTGCTCTCAGTTCTGAGGAATGCCTTTAGCACATAACCTTCCCAAGGTCCCTTCCCAGCAAAGACATTTGTTTCTTCCTAGGTGGCAGGAAGCCTGCTAACTCCATCTCAAACCTGCTAAGATGGAGTTTTGGTGTAACTCAACTATAGTAACAAGAGAAACTGTTTTGTCACATCTATAGACCCTGCAAGGACTCAAGGCAAGGGAGCAGACAGGAATCAGAGGGAGCCACCTTAGAACACCCCACTTGAGGCAGCAGAGGAGCAGGCAAGAGTCTTGGGGACCGTCTTAGAATTCTGGCTCTGCATGACTTGTCCAATCTTTGTCATCAATGATACATGTATATTTAGAGGAGAACACCTTCATAAACATGAAGAACCATCAAAACACAGTTTTATTGGAAATCAGAATCAAGTAGTTTAGGGCCTACTTCTTCAATGCCTTTCTCTATAGACATACACCATGCTAGTAAACTACTTAACAACACGAAGGTGTTAAGCTCACACTCTGCTGCCTATGAGATTACCTCGTATGTGAAGAAAGCAGTTCCTGTTCTTCAAGGTTCTCACAAGATTTTTCGAGAAGGAAGTTCTAAAGAGTAAAAAAAAAAAAAAGGCTGCCTCTGCCTATCTATGGTTCCTGGCAACAGAAAAAAATCTCTGTGAGTATTTCTGGATGGAGAGCTACCATTTGAAGATGGATACATTGCGGCCACATCATCTAGAAGCACACGTAGGGAACACAACAGGAAACCCTCCCAGTAGGAAAGTAGCCTCTTTTGTCAAGAAAGTACCACACTATTGAGAAAGAAACCATAATTGACCATTTTCACTGGTATTCATCAAAACTCACAGCCTCCTTGCTCCACAGAAAGTTACTTCCTGTGACCAAGAAGAAGCAAAATATTGGAGGAAGAAATTATTCTGTAACTCTAATGGATTAATTAAATTCAATATCATAGTATTTTTTAAAAGCATTTCATGACATTAGCAAAGATGAATATTACCCAGTTAGAGTTCTTCATAATAAAGAGGGCAAAAGATAATTGTGATTTTTCTTAGAACACTTAGAAAATCCCAGCTGATTCCATTTAAAGTATTTCTGCCTGCTAGAATGATTTGGAAAATATGCAAGAAACTAAATGCATAAAATAGCTAAATGTACTACTTTAACATATGTGGACTGTTTTTGAGGTACCAACAAATATCAGGTTTTTCCTCTTATGCTTTCTATCAACTTTTTAGATAAAAATGTTGTTTCTAATTTAAGTTGTAAAATACATGTTTCAAACAGTATAAAACTTAGTTTGTAATGATATCCTCAAACTTGAACTAAGTTATATATCTTTAATCTATAAACAATATAATTATTGAAGAATTCTGATTGTTTCTGGACCATTTAATAGTCATAATATTTTAGTGTCATTCTCAAAATGTGTTTCTGACAGGGAGACACCAGTGGGGAGTTTCAATGCCTCAATTTTATTTCCTGGAAGACTTTTAATTTATTGGGTGACTTTGAGCTGCCTTATCTCCTAGAGCCCGTGTTTCCTCTCCTGCAAAATGGGAAGTTGGATTAAATGATACCCAAGCTCCTATGGAGCTATTGTATCCTCACAGTCTATGCTTCTGGCATCCTGGTTGCTTTGAAGACTTTGTCTAATGACCTGTCATATCAGCTGTGGCTGAAGTACTGAATGCGTACACTCCACACTCATATGCAGTTCTTGTCTGTTCAAGGGTTCTCCTGAGATCCCACAAAGCAGGTAGGTACACTGGCTAAAGCCATGTGCCCAGGAAGGTTCAAAAGGCTTAAGAAGGTCAGGGAATTTTAGAACAAACATTTCTAAGTCAATAGATCATTGGAAGTCCTCACAAGTACAAAATGATAATCACAAATCTCCAAGTCTGTGACTTTTCAGAGTAACCGAAATTAAAATATGTAATTTAGAGTTGGAATATCAAACATGGAGGCAACACAAAGATGAATGAGGTATAGTTTCCCAAAGGATGTTGTGCATGTCACAATCATTATTCAATTGTAACTTTCTATAAGAATGGTGAATGTTTTCTTTTATGCAATTTAATAGTTTCCATACCAGAGTGTTATTCTTTGGAGAAAAAGATTTCAGTCATCGTTTGCAATGTAGTTGAACTTGAAGCCAAGAAGGATTTGAACTTTCTTTTGTTATCATTGCTTTTAAGACATGAGACACTATCATTCGTTTGTTGATGGATTTCTAGGTTGCTTCCATAGTTTAGCTATTACGAATTGTGGAGGTGTAGACATGAGCATGCATCTATCAGTAGAGTATTTAACACAAGAAAATACCCAAAAGAGATATAACGAGGCAAATGATGCTTCTATATTTCATGTTTTGAAGAATCTCCATACTTATTTCTATAGTGGTTATACTGGGTACATTCCCAACAACAATGTACAGCATTTGTAGGTTTTTATATTCTTGATAATAGTGATTCTGACGGGAACTAGATAGAATTTCTGAGTTGTTTTGATCTGCATTTCCCTAATGACTAAACAATCTGCACAGCTTTTTTTTTCTATGTATTTATTGGCCATTTGTACCTCTTTGAGAAGTGTTTGTTCATTTCTTTTGCTCATTTTTTGATTAGGCTGTTTTGGGGGGTTCTAATTTTGTTTTAACTCTTTATATATTCTAGGTTTTAGCCTTTAATCAGAAGAATAAGTGGCAAATTTTCCCCATTATGTAGCCTGTCTCTTCATTATGTTAATTTTTTTTCTGTAAAGAAACTTAATAATTTAACACAATTCTATTTGTTGATTCTCAGTATTATTTCTTGTGCTATTAGATATCTGTTCAGTAAGTCCAAGTCCTTCCCTATGCCTATGACCTTCAATATTTTTCCTATTTTTATCTTCCAGCCTTTCTATGTTTCTGTTTTTATGCCCAGGTCTTTGATCCATCTTTGTTTGGTTTTGGTATAGAATAAAAGATGGGTCTGATTATTGTAAATAGATCCAATGTTGAGTTAATTTTTGGAAGCCAAAAAAAGAATTATGATTTTGCCATGTAAAGATTTTTTTAGGTGCCAAAAACCAGTTGTAAGAAACTCAAATACACTTAGGTGATTTGGGGAGAGAGTGAGTAGACAAAACATAAGCATTGTCCATCATCAGAGTAAATCACTTATTGGATAATTTTGATGTTTTCTACTAAATGCTCCTGCCCTTTCTGGTCACTGTAACCTTTGCTTGAGTATGTGCACTTGCACATGATTAGGAGTCATCCTTTTCCACTTTTTGATCAGATACCTTTATGATCTTTGGAGATTAAAAATAATGTACAAAAACTGTGGCTTCACAGCATCTACCACAGTTCACATTTTTAGAACTGAGCTGGGGAGAACACGTAAGGAAAGTGTTGCTCTCTCGCTCTGCACATAATAAAATACTGGCTTCCGAAACTCTGGTAAACAATTATGTGAGTCATAAAAACAGAAAAACGGGAAATGGATTTTGTTTTTTTTCTAAGTTTTATGAGGTTAACTTTAAACAATTATAAACTGTTCATTTCTCTTCAGTCTTGTTAGCTATATCTTTGTCTTTATGCATAGAGTGACCAGCGACAGAAATTTGGGTTTGGATCTTCATGAGCTTTATAATTTGAGAAAGCCACTTAATCTCTCTGAGATCAAGGGAACTAGTACAAAGCTTGATGGACTGCCATGAAAATGTGGATACTGCATGAAGCAACTAGTAGAACACAGAAGTAGGAGCTGGTAGGAAGAGCAGAAGCAGCTATAGTAGCCACCGATGTAGGGACAACAAAACAGCAATTCAGACAGAGCAACAGAGAAAGACAGAGAGGGTGGAAAAGAAGATGGTAACGATGAGGAGGAAGAAGTTGGTTTTCAACAGTAGTTTT